CATGGAATCACTCACGAGTCAGCTTATTCGTTTCAAAGCATAGCTATGCCATGTGTTTGGTTTCGGAAAACTAAAATATATTTGCAGTAAATGTTTAAATGTCGGAGAACCACGCTTCGGCAAGAATAGGCCGGTTCAACCAGAGTGAAAACCGACGTGAAACCACACTTGCATTATATTTTGCCATGTAAGTGAGGTTACCGGAGGCCCAAACTCAAACTCAAACTCAAAAGCATTTATTTCAATTAAACCATAATTTGGTACTTTTGAAACGTCAACAAATATGAAATAAATAATAGTCTGTCAGTCTGTCCGTTAGTGAAGCTAGGCGCTCGTTCCAAAATGTCGATTCGAGTGGAGAAGAACGAGCAAGAAATTCCATTCGTTACTCTTTTAAAAAAAAGTCAGTTTTACACAATTAATTACCCCTTCTCATAACTCCCCAATCCCTGAATCGCTAATCCTCATATCAACCCCTAAAAGGCCGGCAAAGCACTTGTAACTTCTGTGTTTCGGATGTCTATGAGCGGTACCGATTGCTTACCATCTGGTGTTCTGCTGGTTTGCCAGCCTCCGGCTGATTTGGTCCTCGTTGGTCTATTCGGTTGTCACTCTCTCTATTTCCCTACTAGGTATAAAAACATCAAATGTGTTATAAAAAAACCAACATCATGTAAAATCTTGAAATATAATACACTAGTAATTGCCCGCGACTTCATCCGCATAGCATATGATTACTGTTTTATCCCATGGCAGCATTTATGCAGGATAAGTTACCCTGCCTGTATACCAAACTTCATCAAAATCCTTTTAGTAGTTCCAACGTGATTGACGGACAAATATCCAAAAAAAGAAAATTTCACATTTATAATATTAGTGTGATTATTTATTTCTTACTGTCCTTGTATTTTTTAAATCTATTTTTAAATATTAACTTTATTGCCATAGAGAAATCTATGATAATTTGTCAAATATTTGAAACAGTAGAAAGAAACACAAAAATTCACTATTTATATACAGCACTATCTTACTGTAAATTGTAATTTATTTCGAATAACACTTTGTTTTATTCATATAACCAAATTCAGATGAACAAAATAAATGATTTTTATAGTTACAATTACAATTTGGTGAAAATTGGATTCATTTATTACATTAAATTTGAAATAACTATCTATTTGTCATGTATCCAAAAATAATGTGTTATTTAATACAAGACAAGTGTTAGCTCTGAGTAAACAATGATTAACGAATGACACATTCGAGTATGTATTTTGATTCGAAAAAGATAAAAAATAGACCTATTATAATTATCTATAATCATGTCATTTTGTAATGGAACTTATACAACAGACTTTAAGGTTAATGTTTCTTAAAAAGTTTTTTTGTTATATTTTATGGATTTTATGAAAAATATTCCGAACAGAAATTGAGAAAGATCCTGTTCTTCCTGATCCTGAATATCTGATTAAGTTAAAATGGGTAAAGTAGGTATGTATGTCAATAGCTGAGATATATTTAATATTAACAAGGATATCAAAAAATAAGTTCTGTGTGTATCAAATAAATAAATAATCCTTGTTAAATTACATTATTGTTCAATATTATCAGCATTTTAAAATAGTTAGATTTTTTTATATTTCTCAGATCTGTAATCTTCTTAATGCGCGTAGCCGGCGTAGCGATAGATAATAAAACAAATAAGTCTATTTAATCTTTTCACGCAGTAGTTTAATCGATCTGTATTGATATAAATACCATCAGCTAGTCGCATTTGGTACACTTGTTCACAAGTAGCAACAAAATGCGTGTCCTCGCTTGTTTGGCCCTTCTCATAGCTGTGGTAGCAGGTAATATTCTTTTTTCTATTGGACTTTGATTATAAGTTCTAACATAATTAGATAAATATTCTCTCTTCTAAATTCAAAATCAAAATGTAATTTTTTTTTCATTTCAGCCGTCCCCTCCAATCCCCAGAGGATTGTGGGTGGTTCGGTCACCACCATTGACCAGTACCCCACCATTGCTGCTCTGCTGTACTCGTGGAACTTGAGCAGCTACTGGCAGGCATGCGGTGGTACCATCTTGAACAACCGCGCCATCCTTACTGCTGCTCACTGCACAGCGTGAGTGTTCTTCCAGAAATCTCTATTTTGCAAATATTAGAAGACAGGTTTTTTAAGAATTTGTTTTCTTTTCAGTGGTGATGCCGTCAGCAGATGGAGAATCCGTCTTGGCTCCACCTGGGCCAACAGCGGTGGTGTCGTTCACAACGTCAACGCTAACCTCGTCCACGGCTCATACAACTCCAGAACTTTGGACAACGACATTGCTATCCTCCGCTCCGCCTCCACCTTCTCCTTCAACAACAATGTCCGCGCTGCCTCCATCGCTGGTGCCAACTACTGGCCCGGAGACAACTCTGCTGCCTGGGCCGCCGGATGGGGAACCACCTCCGTAAGTATATTTTAAAAATAAAATTAAAACCAGAGATCTTTATTTTGTTGGGCATGTAAAATAAAAATGTACTCTCTATTCACAGGCTGGTGGCTCTGCCTCTGAGCAGCTCCGTCACGTCCAGCTGCAGATCATCAACCAGAACACTTGCAGAAACAACTACGCTACCCGCGGTATCGCTATTACCGACAACATGTTGTGCTCTGGCTGGCCCACCGGTGGTCGCGACCAGTGCCAGGGTGACTCTGGCGGTCCTCTCTACCACAATGGCATCGTTGTTGGTGTGTGCTCTTTCGGTATCGGCTGTGCTCAGGCTGCCTTCCCCGGTGTCAACGCTCGTGTATCCCGCTACACTTCCTGGATCTCCTCCAACGCATAAGATGTTAATTGTTGCTAAGAATATTTTTTTATAATAAAGTGTTCCTTTCACTTAATTTACATTTTTATTTTTTGAACTATTTGCTAAAATGTTGTACATAGTTCACAATTCCTGAAGAAAGCCTACAACTCGTACAAAATTCAACAAACTCGCTAAGTTGAACATCATAGATACTCATATATTCATATGTTCATATTATGACACAACTAGAATGAGAACCATTATGCAGACACATATCATGAAAACAAAAAGAATATACCTGATATTATTGCCTAGTGAGTACTGTTTTTGTTTAGTACAGGTACAATCATGGACAACGAAGAGTAGTTGATATTATTTATATCAAGTCGTTGCCATCAAGATAAGGTTTTTAGTAAATCTTAACTAGCAAGAGAAACCATTTTTCCACTAAAAACCATCTAGATTTTTTCTATGAGACCTTTAAAGTTGCCTTTGTCAAGATCAAAGATTCGCAATAACTAAATACGATTGGAAATATTTTATTTAGTTCAGAGATATATCGGCACCGAGATTTGTCTAGAATTATTCGGTATTCAAAGAGTTGATCTGACTGTTAGTCTAACCTGAGATCTCAAGTTCAGAACTGGATTCGATGGAAATTGTGAAACTGATTGAAAAAGAGTAACCATGGAACCTTGCTTGTTGTACTCCGTTGAAAATCATGTATACTTCGAATTCGATACGATAGATTCGTAACGAGCACCGAGCTTCAATAGAATAGTAACTGACACTTTCCACTTTTTTGACATTCAAAACTACCATAGATTGGTGTAATTGAAAGAAATGACATGACTTGGAATACATAATACATAACTCTAAGTCATCGTAAGAGATTGCAGTGCTGTGAATTAACTATCACTTGTTCTGTATCTCAAAGAGCAAAAAAAAAGCCATTGGCCGTGCGCCTGATCTTTATTCGGTCTAGTCGAATTGCTATCACATAAGATTACATCTCGCTTTAAAATATTATTTTGTCGATTGATTTATAACTATTAGTTAAATTATACGACATATAACTTAAAATTCTAAGAGCTTTTTTAAAGTGGTGGGTGAAAATGCTGCTGAGGTTGCGACGATAAATTAAAATTTACATTTCATTATCCCGTAAAATACTATCCCAGGAGGTATAGGATTAATTATTCGTATCATCTTCAGCTAAGATAAAAGTACTGGGTTTTTTTTAAGGGAGGAAAATCATCGAATGATTGCTCCCGTCTGGGTGAGGCGGGAGGGAGTGTCAGACTCTTACAGACTAAAAACTACCCCGTTCCTTCTCCTGCACGTCGAGCCGGAGCCCCGGTTACCCGTTAGGTTTTATGATGTGTTGTTCCCTAAAGAATGGTTCATAATACTCTTAAAGACTTTAAAGAATCCTATGTGATGCCGTGGATGTCTTGAAACTGATATAGAGGTAGTAATGACTGTTTTGTGTTTTTATTTCATGTACAGATAGTTGCATTCAACTTCTCAAGGCTGATGTCGCTTAAATAACAAGAAAGAAAAAAAAATAAAAACCAATTCTTTTTGTTAGCGTTTGCGTAGCGGTAGCGTTCCGTTTACACTATGTATTCATCAGATGGCATTAAATCGTCTGCATGACAATTACTGGAAAGGTACAAAAACAAACAATGTTAGACTTACTAATTATATAATAAGTATCTATGATATATCTATCTATGATAAACCGTTCGTGGGAGTCAATCAGGCTGGTGTTATCGTTATAATCACTATCGTAATATTATTCGATGTCGTAAGACTAAAATATTATAGGTGTAATAAAAATAATCTGCATCAAATTCCTTGTTTGTTTATTTATCTCTTTCTCTTTGTATATCTTATCGAAGATTAGAACACGTTTAGAGTTACTGTGCCATAGAAGTAAAAGTAGGGATAAGATCCCCAGGATGACTCCATTATTCTCAGAATCGTTGCATAGACTGAACCTATAAATAAATTATTATATAACATCACCCCTTTTATCCCCGGGTAGGCAGTTAATTCTGAATACTGGACATGCTACAGGTAGAGGTGAAATACTTATAAAATAGGCCTCCGGCATACTAGGCTACAATCCCGTGACACTTATGTATTATGATTTTTAGATATCAAATATTATAAAAATAAAAGGGTTAAAATTACTATGAACATGACATAGGCAGTATATTATTCAATTATAAAGACTCAAAATTTTTTGTTATCTTTCCAATCAATTGTTTGTTTATGCGTTGGATGAGATCCAAGAAGTGTAGCTGGACACACGAGCGTTCACACCTGGGAAGTTAACTTGGCCGCATCCAATTCCGAACGAGCAGACCCCAACAACGACGCCATTGTGGTAGAGAGGACCACCAGAGTCACCCTGGCACTGGTCGCGACCACCGGTGGGCCAGCCAGAGCACAACATATTGTCGGTGATAATGACACCTTGAGCTGCGTAGTTGTTTCTGCAAGTGTTGTGGTTTATAGTCACAAGTTGGACGTGACGGAGTTGCTCGGAGCCGGAGCTAGCACCAGACTGCGACATAAAAAGGTCATTAGCATAATTTGTGTGTAACAAAAAACATCTGAATTGTTCTTGAGATATAAAATAAACTTACAGATGTTGTTCCCCATCCAGCAGCCCAGACGTAAAGCCCAGCAATAGACACTGCGCGTACATTGTTGTTGAAAGAAAAGCTAGAGGCAGAGTGCAGGATAGCGATGTCATTGTCTAGGGATCTAAAGTCGTATGAGGGATGAACGATGTGCTGATTGACGTTATGGACAACTCCACCGCTGTTGGCAAAAGTAGATCCAACTCGAATGCGCCAACGGCCGACTTCGTCACCACTGTAATAATTGTAATTACCATTTTTATAAAAATTTGGTTTTGCTTCGATATCTATTTAAATATTTTTCTTCAAAATTCCTTACGCAATACAGTGGGCAGCAGTCAAGATGGATCTGTTATTAATGACGGTTCCACCACATGCTTGCGAGTACTGGTTCCAGTTCGAAGTGTAGAGGAGGGCAGCAATGCTGGGGTATCTACTGATGCTGGTAACGTAACCGCCCACAATCCTTTGAGGATTTGAAGGGACGGCTGGAAATAAAAACATAAACTGTTGTGTAAAGTAGCATAGTTATGTTGAATGGGGATTTATATTTGTTCTGTTTTTTCAGCTCGTATAGTTTGAATGTTGACTATGTTCTTTTTACTTTTTGTGATCACAATCAGAATCTTAAAGTTTGAGAGCCTTTGTTAGTCTGAAAATTTGCCTTCAAACGTCAAATTTATTTTGCAGTGCATTTCACACGACTCACAGACATTTATTTGTATACGTATCGAAAGTTATACAAGGAACTAAAGCAAAGCATAAAACATAGTGTGATTTAGGTAATAATAATGAGCTACTTTTGTCTTGTAAAGTACTAACCTGCGACAGCCGTGATGCAGAGAGCTAGTAAGGCGAAGGCACGCATTATGTTAATGGTCGATCACAATTTAAATTGGAAAGCCCATGTAGATAATGTGTGTGCCAGGTTGAATACGTTCTCATACATGCTATACATGCTTCGTAAAACTGTGGCTGTGCCAACCGCTGTGACTGCCTATCATGCTTACGTATCATCTACGTTAAGATATGGCATAATTTTTTGGGGCAACTCAACCGAATGTGAGGCCGCATTTAAGTGTCAAAAAAAGTGTATACGAGCAATATGCAAACTAAAGGTAACGGATAGTTGTCAGCCATACTTTCGGAAGCTGAAAATTTTAACTCTGCCATGTCTATATATATTCGAAATTGCTGTTTTTGTTAAAAGTAATATGCATATGTTTGATAAGCTTACTAGTACCAGATATAGAGGCAAAATTAGAAGTGTTCCTAGTAAGTCTGCCTTAATGAGTAAGAGTGTTTTTTGCATGTTATCCAAGATATACAACAAACTGCCATGTTGTATTTCAGAAATTGGGAACCTCAACTTGTTTAAACTGAAATTAAAAGAATTTCTCAATGACAAAGTGTACTATACTGTAAAAGATTATCTTGAGGGGAATCCTTATGGTCAATAATTAATTTAATTTATTTGACATTGCTTGTGTGACATTCTATAATATAATTGACATTTACTTTTTTACAATATATATCTAATTTGACATTAATTTTTTGACTTCAGTGGTATGAATAATTATAGTTTCTTTGACATTATTGTATTCTAACAACATTACAAATAATTCAATTCAATGGACCTAATTTTATTATGTAATTATTTTTATAACATATCTTTGCATGCCAAGTTAAGGCAAAATATGGAGAAACTATAAACTTTGTTAACACCTTTATATTATGTACCCATGTTTGCAAATGATTAAATGAATATGAATATGAATATGAATATGTTATTTGTGGTCCTCGGTATCAACTGTGACTATTCGGTATAGTTGAGCGATATTTATATCAAACCATTTTGATTAAAATATTCTGTGGGAAGTGAATGACTTCGTGATTTTCTAATCACCTACTTCAAACCAATAGAGATTAGTTTAGGAGGAAAATCTATATCAAAGACTTTTTACTATTTTAATCTTATGATTTCTGTTTATATTTACATTATCTGAAACTACTTGAAACTCAGCGTTATTGTAATTAATTACAAAATTGATCGAGTATTAGTATTTTGATAGATTTAAATACTAATTACAGGTTGTACTTACTGATTTGAACACTGATTACATTCTGCGAATTTTACTTCCGCTGTTGTAAAAGAGTTCCGTATGGGCGCCTCAAAGAGCCATCAGACCACCACAGACGGGGCCATAGGGCTGATGTCGATAATATGGAGCAGCGGAGGACTTAACGGGTCCGGAGCTACGGCTCGAAGATCAGGAGTAAGAACGGGGTGATTTTTAATCAGTCTGACACTCCCTGTTACTTTATTTGGGCTGGAGTAGTGAATGGATGTTTTTACCGCCTCAAAAAAATCGTAAATATTGGTATGTATGTTGTTAAGCTGTGATAACTATATTTCTAGATTCGTGTGTTTAAGAGGTTATTCCCACCTCATAATGAGCCAGTCATCTCCGATAAGTGTAGGAGTATGACAAGCAAGATTATACACAACACATTAACCTCCTGTTGTTCGATAAATCGAATAAAATTACGAAACTTGCATTTCTACTAAATAAGTAGTTAAAGGGCTTAATTCGTGATAACTAATCTGTGTAATATGGGATTTATTGGTAATTCAAGTAGATGATTAAAAACGACGAAGTCATTTCCTCTTCTCTGGATACATTTTAATCAATCTGAGTTGCTATATATACGAAAAATTTGCTTTGTAAGTAAACATTTGCTCAGCAAGTTGCACCATGCGTGTCATTACTTTCCTGGCTGTTTGCATTGCATCGGTTGCGGGTATGTACTCATTTTATTTAATGTTATTTCAAAACTAAATGATTGATGCCAAAGCAATACTCGTTCCCTTAAACTGATGTAAATTTCCACAAAATTCATAAAGTAGTATGTTTTTCGAAAATGTTAACTTAATTGAACTTTGAACTATTTTATGTTTTTTTAACTATTTTGTTGACAGTGTGGTCTTGAATTTGTAATCAGAAATTAAACTTTACGATTTATTTAAAAGAGTAAACTACAAAATCTTGACTTATGAGGAGAATTTTGGAGAATTGTCAATCTCATTAATACATTCCAACCCAGGAATCACCAGACATCTTGAAAATCGACTAACAGTGGCTTCAATTACCAAACTGTAGTTACAATATATTTATATATTTTTTTTGTTTTCAGCCGTTCCCACAAATCCTCAAAGGATAGTGGGTGGTCATAATACCAGCATTGGCCGCTACCCAAGCATTGCTTCTCTTCTCTACACTACGAACTGGAGCCAGTACACGCAAGTTTGTGCTGGTACCATCTTGAACAATAGATCCATCTTGACAGCTGCCCATTGCATTGCGTAAGTGACATTCTCTTTTCAAATTAAATCATTCTTATAACATGATAATTTATTAATATCACTTTGCATTTCCCAAAGGATATTTATGCTTATTAAATCTGATAACTTTTACAGTATTTTGACTATCAATACTCCCTCTACTACATACAATTTAATATACAGTAAGGGGCGAGTCTGTTGGACATTATTCCACTCGCAAACTCATTTAAATAACATAATAAATAATACTTTACTGAGTTCTGTTCTTAGCAGTGGCATTTATGACTTCTAAAACAACTAGTGCACCGATATAAACATAAAGGTTTATAACTTTACAATTATTTTTACAGCGGCGACGAAGTTGGCAGATGGCGCATCCGTATTGCTTCTGTTTTCGCTAACAGTGGTGGTGTTGTTTACAATTCAAACCAGCATATTGTTCATCCATCATTCAACGCTGAGACCTTGGAGAATGACATCGCTATCCTGCGCTCTGCCTCCTCCTTCTCCTTCAACAACGCAGCTCGAGCAGCTAGCATTGCTGGCTCAAACTACCACCTTCCTGAGAACAGATACGTCTGGGCGGCCGGATGGGGTGTAACCAACGTAAGTTTTATTATCAGTAAAGTTTTAGTCAACAAAAACAGTTTGTGACAGTCCCCTACTAGGAGCCTTTACTTGTGAGGATCCCTATAATAACGCTGGACAGCCAGGGTGGAGATCATAATTTAAATGGTTTATCAGGAAGCACTATTTCCTGGTTTCTGTGAAATGCTTAGTTTGTTTGTCAGCTCAATACTCACACCGCAGAACTTGAACAAATGTAATCTATCCTGGCTTACCGTACGACTAATTATTGTTCTAATATGTTTATTGAATGCCTCCTTTTTTTGTTTTGACAGTATGGCTCAAGCTCCGGCTCTGAGCAACTCCGTCACGTCCAGCTTGAGACAATCAACCAGAACACTTGCAGAAACAACTACGCTAGCCGTGGTTTCACTATCACCGACAACGTGGTGTGCGCAGGCTGGAACTTTGGTGGTCGCGACCAGTGCCAGGGTGATGCTGGTGGCCCCTTGTACCACAATGGTGCTGTTGTTGGTGTCTACTCTTTCGGTATTGGCTGCGGTCAAGCTAACTTCCCTGGAATAAACACCCGTATTTCCAGTTACACTTCTTGGATATCATCAAATGCTTAAAAAAACAGACTTTTGCTTTGTTTTGATGGACATAAAGTTGGCGGTATTCTTATAATAAATGAGCATAATTAAAATACACGTTTTTTAATTATTTACCCTTACCCTGTCGCATATTATGGACGTATTCGCAAAAGTAAGAACACATTTTGTCAAATTTTTTTCAGTAGTTTCGGAATTTCAATTATATCCAACAGTAGCAAATTTAAATAGGAAAATCTTTATTCTTTACGAAATTAATATAGATTTAGATTATGAGATTAACAGATACACATAAACATTTATTTGTACGAAAATTAACTTACAGCAAGATTTGGGTTTCTAATCATTTGGAGCTTTTTCAATAATAAATTTATAGTTTACAAATTAAAAACACGTTTTGAAATATAAATTCTCGTCATAAGCAGAAATTGACATTTACAAAGAGCTCAAACTCGATGTTTATTAATATTAGATTAATATTGGAGCACAAAATTTCATAAGCCACCATCCAAACTAGCACCTTGAAATTATAATAAAAATATTACATATTACAATATGTTCATCAAATTATCATACAACGAGTCAGTTTGGTGATGATACAACAATAATTGAAAGTGAAGTAACTCAGATTCTTAGACTTTATTACATATTTCGTTACCGGTTTTTTTGCTCCAAGGTGGTTCGAGTGTGCGGGAGTCACCTTCTTCCGCAGCTCCCGAACTCGTGGCGACCTGCCTTGGCAAGCCCCACCTCAAGAACCTAAATAGACAGGCTTTAAATCGGATTTGTATTTAACTCGCTTATTATTACGACTATAGAACTACGTTCCTGGCTTTTTCCATAATATGAATCGTTACCTCGTTACGAGCAAATTGTTTCAAATTGTTCATGGTTACCCTCAAAAGGCCGGCAACGCACTTTTTTAACGTCTCTGAAATTGTGGTTGTCCATGGGTCAATCGGTATTCTTGTTAGATAATACGTCTGCCAATATGTTGCATAATCCCATCGCAAAAAACTACACAATATGGGATAAACATATTGACTGGCCGTTTGCACAATTTAATTAAGAATAATATTTATCACTTCTTAGGCATTTTGTTAAGTTTGGTTTATTGTGTTCCAAAAAATTGATATGAAATTTCATTTTGACCCTCTCAAACTAGTTTGTTTGGGGCTAACCAGCCATTTTAGAAGTTGAAACTCTACAGCTGATTTTTTTTTTATAAATGAAGTCACTAGAAGGACACTGCTGTAGTAGTACTGCAACAGAAAGTTAAACTGAATCCTCGATGCTATGATAAAAATGTCTGGGCATTATCTGTTTAGCCTTTGATCAAAGTCCAAAGGTGCTTGATATATTGTGGAAATAGATAAAAATCATTTAATTTTGCTCTTCCTGTCGTCTCCATCTTTAGTTGTATAAATAGAACCACGACCATTTTCCATACCACTTGTCTCTGCGAGTGATTACTGAAATCATGATGCGCGTGTTGATTTTTCTGGCACTTTGTGTCGCCGCTGTTCTGGGTAAGTGTTCTCTGTTAATTTCTGCAGCATATTTTATTTTTTGCATAATATTGCATGATCGGTAATGCCATGAGCAATATATGTAGAATTATATATTTTAATGTGCCCTCATACTGATATCTTGTCTTTTGTCTGGGCTGGACACTTTTAAAATAATTTGTTTATCATAAAGGTAAATTTTTATTTGGAACATGCTTCTGTTAGCAGTTTTACCCGCGTTTCCAGGGGTAGAAAGTAACCTATGTCTAACTTCAGACAATAACCTACCTCTGTTCCAAATTTCATCTCGGTCCCTTTAGTCGTTTTGATGTGACTGAAAAACAAAAATAAACACAGACACGCAAACTCACCAATTTTTCCCATTTATAATGACGGTTCAAGCGAATTTCGACTATGAGTACAGCGGGTAAACTAACATTCGATAAACTTACATTCGCCTTTTGGTACAGTAACTGTGTCAGCGAACAGGGATCGAGCCGCACAATTAGTTTGCTTTTAGTGTTTAAAGAATATTACAATTTCGGGATAAAAAGTACCCAGTGGGATGCCCAGGATATTGAAGTAAGCAAACAAGTTTCATTGTAAAAAGATAAGAATAATTGGCAGCATGTAGGTTCGGCTCCACTGGACAATACTCAAATGTAGTCAGTAGTTCGATTCTAATAGTAGGTTATTTAATACTTTTATTCTTATGTAGACAATCTAGTTTCCTTATGGCATCGAGCATTTCTTTTTTTATTGAAATAAAGAGTTTCCTTTTTCTTGTATAGTATCATTATTTTTAAGGATTGTCAGTATGCATATGTGAGAACCATATTAGACTATAATATTTTTTTGTTTTGATTTTATTTTTATTTTAGTAAGTTTTGTAATTAGTATAATGCGTCAAGCGTGTCTTTGCATTATTCTCGCATATTATATGTACGTACAGTATTGGAATATGTATCTGAGACATTGTACAATATACTTTTTAAAAAAATTAAAAATGCTACAAACCCACAACAAAATAGTTAATGGACACAGTTGGTATAATGCGTAATAAAATTGTAAACAGCTTAATAATTTTAAGTAGGTATCTATTAAGGTTTTAATGAATAATTTTGTTTAAAACTTGTGGCACTGACTTCTAACCTATCAGTGAGTGTGTAAGCTACAATACTTAGTTATTTTTTTCCTTTTTTTAGTTTTTACTTTTCGTTAGTCATTCGTTTTTGAAGTTGGTTTTTTTAAACGCAGTTTTTTAATTTTATTTTATACTTTTTAGTTTAGTACTTTGATATACATTATACACAACCCCCATGGATGCAAAGTTTTTATCAATACAAATTATCCAAGTTCAAACACCGGATGGATACTCTTAACCATTGAGGAGTCCCTTAGCTATCATACTACTTCATCATTGGACCTTTAATTACCATCACCCCCCCCCCCCATCTAGGTGTAACGACCTCATGAATACAAATTATTTAACCCAAACACAATATAGCTACTGATAACCGTTAAGGAGATCCCTCAACTATCGTACTACTTCATCATCAGACCCTTATTGACAATTACACCCCACCCAGGTGTAAAGTCCTCATCAATACAAATTAATCAAACCCAAACACAAGGTAGCTACTGTTAACCGTTGAGGAGTTCCCTCAACTGGCTCTCGGCTCCATCATCAGATCGGCTCCAGACTTTTATCAAATTGTAGTGGTTTTCAATACTTAATGAAAAAATTACCAAATGCCCTAGTCGCCCCTATAATTTTTAAAAGTTCTCCTCGGTTTCCCTGGTCTTCCATCGTCAGATCCTGATTTCCTTATCATGGGACCATTCTGGAACTATCTCCTTTCCAACAAAAAAAAGAATTCTTAAAATCGGTTCATAAACGACGGAGATATCGGCGAACAAACATAAAAAAAAGCATATATACGGTCGAATTGAGAACCTCCTCCTTTTTTTGAAGTCGGTTAAAAAGAGTAAATAATGGAGTTTCTTTCTCGTTCTTCTCCGTTCGAATCTACATTTTGGAATGAGCACCTTGCTTCAACTAGCTTCACTGACGGACTGACTGACAGACTATTATTTATTTTGTATTTGTTGACGTTTCAAAAGTACCAAATTATGGTTTAATTGAAATAAATGCTTTGACTTTGACTTTAATCGGCCTAGTAGTTTTTGCGTGATGATGTAACTTCTCCCATTTTCCCAACATTTGCCTTCACTTATCTGCTCCTATTGATTGTAATGTGCTAAAAAGTAAACTATAATAATAACAACTATATCAGGTCAGGATTATGAAAAATAATTGAACTAAGGTTCATTAAAATCCGTCAATTAGTTTTTGATTTTATAACAGTTACGCAGAGCGACAGAAAAACAAAACTTTTACTGATTGCATGTTTGACATCAGTACCAATCACCTCCTGATTGTTATTTTGGAAATATATTTCACATACAGAATTGACCTCTCTTCATCTGTAGTATTATAAAAATTCATCGCTGGAAAGCCATGCTTCGGCATGAAGGGGCCGGCTCGACCGGAATGATACCACGGCCTCACAGAAAATCAATGTGAAGCAATGCTTGCGTTGTATTTCGTCGTGTGAGTGAGGTCACCGTAGGCCCAATTACCCTCCACTTCCCCAATCTCCCCAATCCCTGAATCCCCAATGATCCACAAACTCCAAATCCCCAAAAGGCCGGTAACGCACTTGTAACGCCTCAGGTGTTCCAGGTGTCCATGGGCGACACCGATTGCTTACCATCAGGTGATCCGTCGGCTCGTTTACCGGCTTATGCCATAAAAAAATAAAAGGAATTCTTAAAAAAAAATCTGTTTTTCGTACAGAAAAAATAAGCATTGCCATTCGACGTGGCAATGCTGCCAGTCTTCTGGGCACGTTCCCCAGTGACAGTGATGCTGACGAATTGTTTGATGCTGAAGTAATGGAATTTCGTTTTATCTTTTATCTATTATTTATTTATTTATTTATTTATTTACACTTTTTGTAGATATACAACGGCGGACTTAATGCCTAGTGACATTCTCTAACTATATAACTATTCTATTATTCTATTCGCTGTTTAAGTTTTAGTTAATTTTAAGTTGTATATTATGTTGTATTTATAATATTATGTTGTAATATTAAATACTAGTATAGAAGAAAAACATTTAGTAAGTTTCAACTGATTTTAAATTTTGACTAAGATTTATTTTTAAAATGATAATGAAATAAAACTATCGATGTTTTCGTTATCAGGTCATCCCTCCGGTTCACTGAGGGTAACTGGAGTACATACTGACATTGAAAAATATCCATCCGCCGCTTCCCTTCAGAAATTCGATACATCCATGAATTTGTTCCGGGCCGCTTGTGCTGGCATCATTCTCAACAACCGAGCTATTCTTACTGCTGCTCACTGTGTACAGTAAGTGTGTCATAAAAAGACTCAGTCAAAAGTCATACTCAATCTATATTTGACAAATTTAATACTGTACTACTTTTTCAGCGGTGACAACGTTAACCAGTGGCGCATCTTTATAGCGTCTTCATATGCAAATCCTGCTCTAAGTGACCGACAAGTCCACGCAGTCAGCCGCATCATCGTTCATCCTTTGTACAGGTCTAGAACCTTAGACCATAACATCGCTATCCTGCACTCCGCTACTACCTTCATCTTTAGCAGTAGAGCCAGCCCTGCTTCCATAGCAGGTCCTAATTATAATGTAGCAGATAACCAAACCGTCTGGGCTGTTGGATGGGGCCAGATCGAAAATTGTACTGAGCCGCGATCTCTGGTATTAGAATTAAACTGAAATTATTTATACTAGAATTAAACTAAAATTACTTGTATAGACTACCTCGTTGGCCGAGGGGTCGTAAGTGCGACTGCCAAGCAAGGGGTTTTGGGTTCGATTCCCGGGTCGGGTAAAATATTACTGGGTTTTTTAAATTTTCTCAGTAGTAGCACGGAGTCTGAAATTATGCCCGGTATCCATATATCGGGCACAATTTCAGACTTCGTGCACATTGCCATCAATAGGCTCACCCCCTATTACATGGGACTCATAACATAAATAGTGAAAAGTGGGTGTTAATTTGTACAGTGATATAATGTGCACCTCTGCCTAGCCCTTCGGGGATAAAAGGCGTGATGTTATGTTATGTATCTACTTGTATAACGATGATAGGCTTGCTTTAAATAACAATTATCACAACCAGACCCCGCAGTCAAACCATTGCAACGGTTTTGTGGGGCTTAGATTATAAAATACTTACCTTTATGATATAAAGATAAATAAATAACATGCAAAAAACTTACAAATAGTCACTGATCGTACACTTACGTACTTTCGACTCGGAAAAAATATGACGTTCATATTGATCGAAATAAACATACATAGAGAGGACGACAATTTTTGATATATTTTGTTTCAGGCTACTGTGAACGACAGACGATTCATACCTGACTTTATACAAGAGGTCCAGCAAGTGATTATAAATCAAAACACGTGCAGAAACAACTATGCGACTCAGAACATCGCTATCACTGATAACATGTTATGTGCTGGCTGGCATACTAATGGTCATGGGCATTGTGACAGAGACTCTGGTGGTCCACTCTACCACAATGGTGTGGTTGTTGGTATCTTCACGTTCAGTGTTGGAGTTGCTCAAGCCAACTTCCCCAGCGTTCACACTCGTGTATCCCGCTACATCCCTTGGATTGAAGCCAATGCATAAAAAGAAAGAGATAGAAAAAGAACGGAATATTCCCAATTTATAGAAAATGATTTAAATATATTAAGTTGCATTTAAATTCCTTGCTTATTTTTTATCGTCGAACTATGTTGTTGATTATGAGAAGATTATGATATCTAAAGATATGAATATCTTAAGAGATGTGATAGGTAACTCGTTGAATCGAAACCCGTTTAGGAATAGAATTCCTTGCTAGAGATTGGTTCCAGAATCTGGTAGGGGTGGTTTCACCTGGGTGACTTCAAGTCTTGGGGGTTCGAAAATACCTAGTTGTGGCACGAAGTATAGAATTGGGCCGATATTATACAATTAGTCTCAACCCTTACGACATGAGAGATACAACTGGGGAAAAGTGAGTATTATATCGGAAATAAACACCTCTGCCCATCTCTTGGGGAATTTAAAGAATTGAAAAGTTATTATAGGTACATATGTATGTGTCAATAGCAACAGACTTATTTTTAGTTATCTGTGTCTATCCATCAATAAATTGATTTATTATTTGTGATTATTACGGAAACGGATAAGAGTATTTAATCTTGCTCTTCCTGTCGCCTTCATCTTTAGTGGTATAAATATCTCTGTGAACATGTTCAACGCCATTTGGCATCGAATAATTAGCAGACACAATGAAACTTCTAGTTTTCGCAACCCTTTGTATCGTTGCTGTGATGGGTAAGTGCTTTTAATATTCTTTTTATTTCTATTTATGTTCGTTTTCTTTCTGTGCACAAAGTTCTGGCATCTACATATATAACTCAAACTTTTCTCTATGTGTGTAGATAGATAGAAGTTTGACTTATATGTTATAATATTAGTGTTAATATTACATTATAAGGAGGTAAGATTTATTTTTCTGTTTAAATAAACTACGATAAAATTGTTCTACCATTGAAATTCTACATTAAACCTGACGAACATAAGCTATATTTAATAAAAGAAAAAAAAATGAATCGGGTGAAATTTAGACCGACTTGATATGTGAAAAAACTACCAATTTTTTACACTGCGGTAATAATACACAAGAGAGCAAAGTGGTGTATTAATCTTATAAAGGGCATTAATATCAACAAAAATGTATGCGATGTTATATGTTTATGTATTATAGCTATGCCATAAAAATTTGCAATAGTAACGTAGCGCCGTTATAAACCAGGCTACTTTATTACATTATTAATATTAGAGTAATATCCAAAAATCTTAGAAGAACGGTAGTTTGAGACCTGAGAAAGAAGTATCGTTTTTATCCAAAAAAATCCAAGGAAACGGGAACTATGCCTTAAACTGTCAAACACCAAGCGGTCACCGGTGACCGCAACCTATTGTTCTATAAATGTGTCTATAATGACGGTACTCGACGAGTTAAAGTCCTGAGACCCACTATCTTTTAAACCACTGAATTTTTTTTATTGAAATTCGGTACAACAATGGTTTGCGACCCCGGAAAGGACTTAGAACTATTCTTATTACTGAAACCTTACGAAAATGAGCACTGTACAGGTAAAACCCGCATCATTTTGCAATATACATACCTTAAGTACTGAATCAATTCTTCGTTCATTTGATAGAACCATAGAATATGCCTTGGAAAAGACTAATTCATAAGTCAAAATTCTGTCTGAAGTCATTATTCTACGCGCACAAAGCCGCGAGTAGATCAGCTAGCCGTTCTATATGTTTAGGAAATAAGAAATTGTTTAAGAAACTTTTTTTCTACCAGGAATTCCCTCTCAGAGGGTGATTGGAGGTTCCTCGGTTATGGTTGAAAACCATCCCTCTATTGCTTCCCTACAGACATGGGATGGGTTTACCAGTATGTTCTGGCAAGCTTGTGGCGGAGTCATCGTCAACAACCGAGCAATTCTCACTGCCGCCCACTGTTTACAGTAAGTAAAGAAGGATTTAAAGAAGAGTTAAAAACAAAACTCAGTCTACATTTTATTTATAATATTGTTTTTTTTTCAGTGGTGACAATATCAATCTGTGGCGAATCCGCATAGGCACCAGTTTCGCAAATTCATTTGGAGAAGTCCATTTGATTCAGCGTCACATCGCTCATCCTTCATACAGCTCCAGAACCTTGGAACACAACATCGCCATCCTGCACTCTGTGACCACTTTTACTTTCAACAACGCAGCGAGCCCTGCTTCTATCGCAGGTCGTAACTACTACATTGCAGACAACCAAAGTGTGTGGGCAGTTGGATGGGGACAGTTCTACCGGTGTTCCGAACCACGATCTCAGGTGATGACATTTTTACATCTACAAATCCTATGTTGTTCGAATATCGTGAGAATTTAAAAAAAAATGACAAAATCCATCCAGTAAATGTTGATAATTAACTAAAAATCGGGGGTTACTCACGTGCATATACTGAGAAAAGCTCTGGTGGTAATTATGAGGAACATCATTATCATCATTTCCGATTGTTTGGTGTAATCAAGTAATAATTAAAGACACTCATCTAAACATTTAAAACGATACCATCATCGGTTCAACAAATCAAAACAAAATTTGATACTAATTTACTTGCTATTTTAAAACGAATGATATTTCTGCCAGTATTAGTATTATCAAAATATTTATTGATGTTTTGTGGTTAGTTCGGGATTTTTTGACCAAAACCAAAAATGTTCAATATCTCAGAAACTAGCCACTTTTGAACTAGAGACCTCAGAGTCAATTTTATAGAAAAAACCTCCCGAGAGGAATACGTCGAGCTACAAAACACCCTGAATAATTATTAGTTTTTTGTTTCAGTCTAATATGCATGAGAGACGAGTAAACTCTGAAGTGCTACGTCAAGTTTTAAAAGTCGCTATTAACCAAGAAACATGCAGAAATAACTATGCTGCCCGTAACATTGCCATCACCGATAACATGTTGTGTTCCGGCTGGTACACTAATGGTCGTGGCCATTGTGATGATGATTCTGGCAGTCCCCTCTACCACAATGGTGTGGTTGTTGGTATCTTCACCTTCAGTGTTGGTATCGCCCAAGCCAACTTCCCCAGTGTCCACACTCGTGTATCCAGCTACACCTCTTGGATTACCTCCAACGCATGATTTAAAATTATAACCACATTACTATGACTTGCTTTCTTTTGAGTTCTACTGAAATTGTATCGCGATAAATAAAATTTTCATTCAAGTTATTTGTTTCTATTTTATTTTATTTTAACTTACACGTATTGGTTTAAATATATGAAACTCAAAGGTGATTCACCGACTGAAATAGTGATCTATCAACGCAAAGCCCATATCACTGGATGGTGATGCATGAACAGATGTTATGACGTAGACATTCACGAAGAAAAGATTTTGATACGTACCACCTCTAAGGGGATAAAATAGGGGATGACAGTTTTTATATATATTTTAGATTTTCAACTACATAATTGAACTGAAATTAAAGATTCAAAAATATAATTAATTTGTAATCAAATAACTTGCTTATGTTTGTTATATCGTCAAATCAAATCAAATAGCTTTATTTGATGAAAAGTGTAGTCCATAATAACTAATGTGTGTGATATCTAAAGAAACCCGGAATCGAACCGACTACCCACGCCACTGGTGAACGCACCGAACGTACGTAGCGTTCAACATCGTCGCACGCGCCGCCACCGCCAGAGTTGGAATCAAAAGCGCGTGGTGTCTGGCAGAGGGCACGGTGGGCACGCAGCGCAAGTAACAACAACGATGCAAGCGCCAACGCTACCCAGCTGCGCGACATCGCTGCGACCGCGCACGCTACTCATGAGGAAGAACCCCTCTGTGGTTCGAAACTAGTAGAGCTTTTCTCAGTATATTCACGTGAGTAAACCGCCATTTTTAGTTAATATTTAAAAATGTTATTAGAAGACATGAATGGTTTTCGTAGATGTCATGTGTTCCAGAAGGGTGGGTGGTTTCACCTGGGTGACTTCAAGTCTCGGGGTTCGAAAACCCTTATGACACGGAGTATGGAATTAAGCCCGATATTATACTATTTCATTCAATACTTACTACATGAAATGGATAACTGGTAAAAAGTGTGTGTTATATTTGAAACTAGCATCTGCTTGCGCCTTCGCCCGCGTCCTCAAGAGGAAAAAGTAGCTTAGGTCTTACTCCATACAATAATCTACCTCCGTTCTAAATTTCATCCCGGTCACCTCAGCCGATTTGTCGTGATTGAGTAACAAATAAACACAAAATCTCACAAATTTTCGATTTACAGCGTAATGTCCATTGCGTAACGTAACGTTCAACAAACTTATATTTGCGTTTGGTGCAGTAATCCTGCCTTAGAATTGGACCGCACGATCAAGTTTGTTTTTGTGTATATAATTTTATGGGATGAGAAGTACCCAGTGAGAGCGCTGGATATTAAAATATACCTAATAATACCAAGTTTCATCGTAATCAGACCAGCGGTTTTTGCGTGTTGCGTAAACATACAGACAGACAGACAGTCAAACAGTTTAGTATTCACATTTTCGTGTTAGGTCCCTATCTAGTAATATCCCAATTATTTTTTTTATGTTTTCAGTGTACAAAATTAACATAGATATTAATAGCTCTGCCCACCTCTTCGGGAATTTAAAGACGTTATTATATGTACAGACACCGGTTTTATTTAGTTATCTGTGTCTGTCTACAGATAAATTAATTTGTGATTGTAGTACTACGGAAATGGATAAGAGTATTTAATCTTGCTCTTCCTGTCACCTCCATCTTCAATGTTATAAATACCTCTGTGAACATGTTCTTAGCCATTTGGCATCGAATAATTAACAGACACAATGAAAGTTCTCGTTTTCGCAGCACTGTGTATCGTTGCTGTCTCGGGTAAGTGCTTATCTTATTCTTTTAATTTCAATTTATGATACCCACATACATAGCTTAAACTTTTTGTCTAGGAAATAAAAAAATGTTATTTTTTCCAACAGGCGATCCCTCTCTGAGGGTAATTGGAGGTTCATCGTCTTCGATTGAAAACTATCCCTCCGTAGCTTCCCTCCAGGCATGGGACTGGTCTACGAATATGTTCTGGCAAGCTTGTGGTGGAGTCATCATCAACAACAGAGCCGTTCTCACTGCCGCCCACTGTTTACAGTAAGTAAAGAAGGTTTTAAAGAAGAGTTAAAAACAAAACTCAGTCTACATTTTATTTATAATATTGTTTTTTTTCAGTGGTGACAATATCAATCTGTGGCGAATCCGCATAGCAACCAGTTTCGCTAATTCATTTGGACAAGCCCATTATTTTGATTGAGCGTCACATCGCTCATCCGTCATACAACTCCAGAACCTTGGAACACAACATCGCCATCCTGCACTCTGTGACCACTTTTACTTTCAACAACGCAGCGAGCCCTGCTTCTATCGCAGGTCGTAACTACTACATTGCAGACAACCAAAGTGTGTGGGCAGTTGGATGGGGCCAGTTCTACCGGTGTTCCGAACCGCGATCTCAGGTGACGACATTTTTACCTAAATTTTAAAAGCGAATCGTTTTCATCCATCGACGTCTTATTGTATGTTAATCAAATACTCGCGACTTTTTCATAAAATAAAACAATGACAAATTCGATCCACATTATTTTTCTTCTACCTTTAACTTTAGTTTGGAAAATATTTTGACGAAAAGTCAGCGTACTAAGAATAAAATTGATGCATTAACAAACGTTTAATATAAATTGTGACGCTAAACTAATCATTTAATTTTGTACAAAATTCGTTTTCTAAAGAAATGACACAAATATTTTATTTTTTTATTTCAGTCATCGCCGCATGAGAGACGTGTAGACTCTGAAGTACTCCGTCAAGTTCAGCAAGTGGTTATAAACCAGGAAACATGCAGAAACAACTATGCTGCCCGTAACATTGCCATTACCGGTAACATGTTGTGCTCTGGCTGGCATACTAATGGTCGTGGACATTGTGAAAAGGGCTCTGGCAGTCCTCTCTACCACAGTGGTGTGCTTGTTGGTATTTTCACCTTCAGTGTTGGTATCGCTCAAGCCAACTTCCCCAGTGTCCACACTCGTGTATCCAGCTACACCTCTTGGATTACCTCCAACGCATGATTTCAAATTATGCCAGATAACTATGACTTTCTTTTTGACATTTATGAAATTGAATTGCGATAAATAAAATTTGAATTCCAGTTATTAGTTTTATTTTAATGTATTTGAAATGACAACTATTGGTATAGAAAACAGCATATGACAGAAAATTAACATAACATCACGCCTTTTATACCCGTAGGGGTAGGCAACGGTGCACACAGAAGAAACACCCACTTTTCACTATTTATGTTATGAGACCCATGTAATAGGGGGTGAGCCTATTGCCACATTTCCAGACTCCGTGCTACTACTGAGAATTTTTTAAAAACCCAGCAATACTTTGCCCGACCCGGGAACCGAACCCGAGACCAAGGGGTCTCGGGTTCGGTTTTCTTGTCTATCTGTCTGTCTGCATGTTCACACATCACGAAAAAAGCTACCGGACCATAAACAATGAAACTTGGTATAATTATACTTTAATACCATGGGCATCATACTGGGTCATCACATCATACTTTTTATCCCGTAAACATATACATATGTAAAAACAAACTTAATTGTGCGACTTTATTCCTAGACACAGATAATAACCAAACGCAAACATTATAATTGCGTCAAATATTAAGTTGCCCACAGTTGACTTTATGTTGTAACGTCGAAGGTTGAAATTAGTTTAAACCAATATTATACATGCTAAAATATATGAGTTAGTTATGTTTGTTACTCTTTTTCATCAAAACAGCTGAAGATACGAGGATGAAATTTGGAACAAATGTATATTGTGTTCTGAAGTAATACATAGGCTACTGTTTACTTCTGGAACGCGGGCAAAGCCACTGGCAGAAGCCAGTTATATTATTATAATGGTAATACATGTTACTCATAAATCATTTATTGATATTGACTTTCATGAATAAACTGCTGTAGATGTGATAGGAGCTACGTTATTCAACAACATTTTTCTTATCTGTGTCTACCGTCTACCGGTATTTAGTTCGTAATTGGCATAATATAAGGAGATATTACAGATAATATCGACATCTACATACTTTAATCTTACTCTTCCTGCCCGTGGACATTTTCCCTCGTCATTGAGTAACACAACAAATACTTGCATATCCACCTACATCGCTTGGATTACCTCTAACGCATGATTTAAAATTTTAATCTTAAGACTATGACTAGCTTTTCGATCTTTACTGAAACTGTACTGCGATAAGTAAAGTTTGAATTTAAGTTGTTTATTTTTATTATACTTTATTTAACCTACAAGTTTAGGACACATACTGTGACAGGAAAGTGTTATGATTACTTTATCTTTCATAAATATATTAGTTTATCTTTCATTGTTAAATAAAATCACTGCTTGCCTCTTGCACCTACCATTTACTCTTCTCTACATCACCCAAAGGTCAGACTGGTAGGAAATGCCTGCGCCATTAAGTCCACCTTGTTGTACATTTTGTGCATGAAGCATATTAAATAAATAAATAAAAATAATTAATTTGTATTACATCTCAATATATAGAGGTATATGTATATACATATAAAACTCAAAGGTGACTAACTGACCAACATAGTGATCGTTTAACGCACAGCTCAAACCACTGGACAGAGTGCTTACTCTTGAAACCAATTAAAATGTCAATGTAATTTCAATCCAATAAAATCACAATAATTTTTCAATGTCAACATTATACAACCACAATCTTAGCTGTTAATATAGCATTCAGAGTATGGAATATAAAGACAAACTTAATACCATTTAGTTCATTCAATATCCACGCAATACGGATGCAATGGGCGCTAGTGTTGCAACTCAAGTGTACGAAATTTCACAATTGCATGTCGATCGATCGGAATTGAATTCAAGAGTAAGCCACCTGATTAGGCTGAAATTCGTTATGCAGGTATATGTTATGTGGCAAACATCCGTTAAGAAAGGACTTTGACCAATTCTATCCCCAAGGGGATAAAAAAGGGTATAAGGTATAAGGTATAAGGTATAAGGGTATAAGGGTATGAGGTATAAAGTATAATCTATAAGGTGTAAGGTATAAGGTATAAGGTATAAGGCATAAGGTATAAGGTATAAGGTATAACGTATAAGGTATAATCTATAAGGTATAAGGTATAGGGGTAAGGATACACAAAAAACTTTTTTGTGTGAATCTTTATTAATTTTAAACCTATTGAGCTGAGACGTTACATGCATAAAGCTACTATGACGTAAACATTCTATATGAAAGAATTTTGATATATTCCACCCATAAGGGGATAAAAGTTTAAATAAATCTTCTTGGATTTTCGACTGATTGAACTGACATTTAAGTTTAAAAAACATAAATTAAGTTGCAATCAAATACTTGTCTATTTTTTATATCGATGTACTACATTATTAATTTCTAGCTTCTGCCAGCGGCTTTACTTCTTCGGCGTCATTCAAATTCAAATTCAAAATATTTATTTCAGACAGCATACTTTAGCGGTGGGACTAGCTTCAGCTAAATTTCACCCACCTCACTTCAGCCGTATTTATATTAATATGACTGAGTAACAAACACAAACTCATAAATTGTCTAATTTGTAATAGCGGTTCAGGCTAATCTCAACCTTCGGTTCAACAGTTACAGAATAATATCCATTGCGGGTAACAAAACTTTCGAAAATCTTATATTTACGTTACAGTAAACTGTATGTAAAGTATGTAACTATATTTTTTGTATGCATATTTTTTGACTATAAAAAGTACTCAACGTGAGGCCCCGGAAATTAAAATATAATTATTCCAATTTTCATCCTAATCGGACTGGTAGTTGTTGCGTGAGGCGTAAGCAAACATACATACAGACGAACAAACAGAGAAACATTTTTTTAATCACATATTGGGTGTCTGTCTACTATTTATTTTTGAATATGTTCAATTTTCAAAATTTACCCTTTTACAGTTATGCACACAGTGTACAGAATTATTATATTATGTGATATGCACATTAAGATAATATTGCAAAATTAAAAAAATATATAACAATCTTAGAAGTTGTCATAGGAAACTCGCTGAATCGTTGAAGTATGAAATTCCATGCAGGAGATTGTTTCCAACAAGGTGGTTGGTTTCACCTGGGTGCCTTCAAGTCTCGGGGTTTGAAAACTTCTAGTTCTAGGACGGATAACTTCAACACTTACTATATGCGAGCGATAATTTGTGAAAAGTGAGCATTATATTGAAACTAAACACCTCTGCCCACCTCTTAGGGAATTGAAAGACGTGAATATATGTCTCAGTAAACAGCCACCGATTCGTTTTTAGTTATCTGTGTCTGTCTAAAGATAAGTTAATTTTTGATTTTTGATTGTTATATTACGGAAATGGATAAGAGTATTTAATCCTGCCCTTCCTGGCACCTCCGTCTTTGGTGGTATAAATATCACTGTGAAAATGTTCTTAGTCATTTGGCATCGAAAAATTAGCAGACACAATGAAAGTTCTAGTTTTCGCAGCCCTGTGTATCGTTGCTGTCTCGGGTAAGTGCTTATCCTATTCTTTTAATTTCTATTTATGATACCCACATACATAATTCAAATTTTTTCGATTTTTCTATATTTAGGAAGTAAAAACTTATTCTTTTTTTTAACAGGCGGTCCCTCTCAGAGGGTAATTGGAGGTTCATTGGTTATGATTGAAAACCATCCCTCCATTGCTTCCCTCCAGACATGGGATGGATTTACGAGTTTTTTCTGGCAAGCTTGTGGCGGAGTCATCCTCAACAACAGAGCCATTCTCACTGCCGCTCACTGTTTACAGTAAGTATACTCGTATTTTAAAGAAGATTTAGAAGCAAATTTCAGTCCACATTACATTTTATTAACAGTACTGTGTTTTTCTTTCAGTGGTGAGAATGTCGATCTGTGGCGAATTCGCATAGCTACCAGTTTTGCCAATACGGGTGGACAAGTTCATTTGATCCAGCGTCACATCGCTCATCCTTCATACAGCTCCAGAACGTTGGAACACAACATCGCTATCCTGCACTCTGTGACCACTTTTACTTTGAACAACGCAGCGAGCCCTGCTTCTATTGCAGGTCCTAACTACCACATTGCAGACAACCAAAGTGTTTGGGCTGTTGGGTGGGGTCAGATCTACTGGTGTACCGAGCCGCGATCTCAGGTGACGACATTTTTACCTACATTTAAAAGTCTTATCCTATGTTTATCGAATGATCACATATTTCGAAAAAAAGAAATACAAATTCGATCCAGATAATTTTTTCTTGTACCTTTTACTTTAGTTTGGACTTTGGAAAATATTTTAGCACAATGTCAGCGTACGAAGAATATCCTACTGGAGTATTACGAAACGTTTAATATAAATTATAACGCCGCAGAAATCGTTTAATTTTGTACAAAACGTGTTTTAAAGAAAAAACATAAATAACTATGTTTCTTTTTATTTCAGACACATGAGAGACGGGTTGACTCTGAAGTACTCCGTCAAGTTTCACAAGTGATTATAAACCAAGAAACATGCAGAAACAACTATGCTGCCCGTAACATTGCCATTACCGGTAACATGTTGTGCTCCGGCTGGCATACTAATGGTCGTGGCCATTGTGACAAAGACTCTGGCAGTCCTCTCTACCACAATGGTGTGGTTGTTGGTATCTTCACCTTTAGTGTTGGTATCGCTCAAGCCAACTTCCCCAGTGTCCACACTCGTGTATCCAGCTACACTTCTTGGATTACCTCCAACGCATAATTTAAAATTTTAACCAGTTTATGATGACTTGCTTTTTTAAGCTTTACTGAAATTGTATTGCGATAAATAAAGTTTGTATTCAAGTTTCTGTATTATTTTACTTTATTTAACATTATTTCTAAGTTTTGGTATCATGTTGTGACAGAAATGTGTTACAGTTATGTTGTAGTAAAGTATATGAATATATGTTATTGTAATAAACATTTATAAATAACTTTTTGACATTGACTTTTACGAGTAAACTGATGTAGATGTGATAGGTGTTACGTTATTCGACACCATTTTACTTATCTGTGTCTACCGTCTACCGGTAAGGGATTTGTAATTGGCATAATATTTGGAGATATTACAGATAATATCGACACCTACGTTTTGTAATCTTACTCTTCCTGTACGTGAGCATTTTCGCTCGTTATCGAGTAATATAAAAAACAATTAGCGTCATTGTTGTTGCTACTATGTACTTTCTAGCACTTTCATGCTTTAATACGTTTAAATATTGTATGTATTGGAATGTTTGACAAACGATTTTTACCCAGAATAGGAAGGAATACTAGGAACCCTCTTGTTATAATTAGTGCAGTTAATAGTTATCGTTTCGTGTAGTCCTAGTCTACTATTTCTGAGAAGGCACTATTAAGATAGTTGATGACTTTAAATTTATATAACGGTAATAACGAAGTATCATAAATTAAAAACGAATACCCCTTAAATATAAGGTGAGTAACAAAGCGGGCCGCGAATCGGTCCCTGAGGTACACCCATCTTATCAATAGATCCGTATAAATTAATTATTATTTTAAGCTACAATAATACAATCTTGTTACTCAAATATCAGGAAAAATAACCAAATACATCTCGTGTTTCATAATAGGATAGCTTCCTTATCAATGATTCATAAAAAATCAAGCAAACGTCTAGGATAAGGCTCAAAAAATTGTCGTCTTCGTCTTCGTCTTCGTCTTCCTTTGTATCGTCATATAGTAAAAATATGCAAGAATGATATTAGTTAATGATTATTAATTTATTAATGTTGAACAATTCCTCGTAAATACAACTATTTAAAGTGTTTGGTAAGGAAAACGAATGAGAAACGTAAATAACACATGCAGTTTCATTATAAGTCGAGAAACCACACAAAGATGATTAATACAAATACTTTTAATTTCAAATATGTTGATATTCTTTAATAATAAATAATAATTGAATGCGATTTTTATTTACGAATATATTTTTTCTGACGAATATGTGGTAAGTATTTCATTGTTGTAGGAAATAATTAATTATTATTATTTACATATTTCTTAGAAACGGGTCGAAATTGTAATTAGGAGTTAGATGTTATCCATATATATAGTTGGATACTCGTTAATAATCGAGTATCCTTGGTATGCAGGATCGGAGTTACCTTGTCTAAAGACAAACACACTAATGATAACTGTATTGTGTGAGAGAGAAATACCAATTCTGTAGTAACCAAGTCTGTAGTAACCAAGTAGTAAATCTTCTGCGCAATGTCCACAATTATCAACAGGCAGACTTCAAAACTTAACCAAAAAGTATTCGAAAAACCAAAAATACTAATACTTTGTCTAAACCGGTAATTGAACCCAAAACCCATTCGGCAGTCGCATTTGCAACCACTCGACCAACGAGGCAAGCAAGATAGGAACATTTTTTAATTAATATATTAATGTACAACATATTTAGTTGTAAACAAAATAAGTACAATCGTTTGCCAGCGTCAGCTACAGCAGCTACACTCATAGTCTTCTATGAGTCAGGGCCTTTTTTATTGAGGGGATAATCATCCAATGACTTCTCCTGTTTGGATGAGGCGAGAGGGAGTATCAAACTCTTACTGACTAAAAACCACCCCGTTCCTACCCCTTATACTTCGAGCCGGGGCCCCGGCAACCGGTTAAGTCTTTCACGGCTCCGTATGCCCGTCATCAGCCCTGTGGGCCCCATCCGTGATGATCTGATGGCGCCTTGAGGTGCACGCGGAACGCAACGCGCAGTATGCTAGGGCCTGGTTCTGGTCGGGCGTCGGATCACCCATGCTCGCCGTCCACAGGCCCGTGGTTACGGTGGCCGAAGATCGTCTCGCGATCCCCGACGCCCGGAGTGTCTCTTGCAACGGCCGGGGCGTGAGCAGGTTCGTTCCCTCACGCGCTCCGCCTCCTTCTTAACCAGCATAACTGCTTCGCAGATGGAGGGGACGGCATCCCAGTCCTCCTCGTTACGTACCATGGTCTGAACCAGAGCCGGACGCAAGAGGAAAGGGTTTCGTCGCCGTCGCCTATCACATCCCTGAGGACACGGCGGTGCTCAGCCCACACAGAACACACTGCTTCCGTATGTTCCACCGTGTCATCCGGGCGATTCTCGCAGTGATAACACCCTGGGGTTTCCTCCCACCCAATCCGAAACAGGAACCTACCGAAACTTCTGTTTCCAGTAAGCACCTGCGTTAGGCGGTAGCTGAGGATGCCGTAGCGTCTCTCAAACTACCCCTTAAAGAGGGGACTTACCGCTGTAATGACAGCGTGCCCAAGAAGAGTTAGGACCTGCATTGTGCGTTTGTCAGTTACTCGCATACAAGTAAAATCGAAAATGTCTACGAGAGTATTTATACAAGTGAAGATGGAGACGACAGGAAGATCAGTATTAAATATTTCCATGATATATCAATCTATCACTCATCGATCACCGGCAAACACAGATAACAAAACTGGCACGACTTTGTTATATTTAATTACTTTTTAGAGATAAACTATGGAGCGGCTCCATCGAGACTTGACTAATTTTTTACAAAATGTTTTTGGTGAGATATCAAATATTTTTGTAGAATGCAGGTATTACCTTCACTCTTAGTCCAATGCATTATTATATTTTGACCAAATTTTTTGTGAAACTAATATTTTAGTGTACTTTTTTTATTTAATCTAACCAGAATCACCAGTTACTTCAGATCTTCGATTATCCTAGTTTTTATAGTTTTCCCTTTATGTGGCCATAAAACCTTAACTCTGTACTAAATTTCAGCTCTCTGAGGTTATGAGAAGTACTAGTTCTATTTTGATGATCATGAGTGAGTGAGTGTCATAAATGCGAAATTTTGCTTTCGCTTAACTTCGGAACTAGATGATCTGTAGACTTGAAATTATAGCTTTCTAGATGTCTGCGTTCTAGTCTTATCCAGAGGTTCTCAAATAGGGGCCTGAAAATGCACCGAAATGGTTCCAGTAATGGATGGTACGGCAGTGTTTGCTTCGCTCTCGACTTGGCGGATTATAGCTTTAAAGGTGAACTATACATTCTCAAATTATTATTTCAGAATCTGTCACATAGTTGCTATGATAGCGGTGACTATAAAAAAGAATATAGTACTGTGATGTCATTGTGTCAATGTCAGTGTCAACTGGCGTCTCAAGCGTGAAATTTAATCATTGAATCTACTGTGCTCAAATTTTTACAATTTCATACATATAGATTGTAATCTGTAGGTAAATTAACTGTAGAATAGGGTGGTAAAATAAAAACTACGTTTAAAAACCGACTTCAAAAAACCAAAAAATAATAAAACACAAAAAGTTTAAATTAAAAAGAATAAAAAATAACTATCTATCATTAGTACTGATAGGTTACCCACCCACTGATAGACTAGAAGTCAGCGCCATAAGTTCTATACAAAATTATTCATTAAAACCTTAATAGATACCTAATTTACAATTGTGTGGCAAAGACAAAAGTCAGAGTCAAAATCATTTATTTCAATTAGAACAGGAAGGCACTTTTGAACGGCAAAACAAAATATTTAAATATTAAATAATAAGAAAAAATATCAGTCTGTAGGTCAGTGTTTTTCAAACTGTGGGTCGCGACCCACAGGGGGGTCGCAAAGCTTCTGTAGTGGGGTAAAAAACTGGGTACTTTAGTAAAATAAAATAACAATAAAGATAATTAATATTTATTTATTAAGTAAGACTTTAAAATTACTCTTACTTACTGCTGCTTCAGCCACACGAAAAGCCACTCTATAACTAGCAAGCAACGCTTTCTCATTTAGGTTAGACATTTGTACTATACCAGTTTTTTGATGTTTAGAAACTTGCAATTTTCTCTCAAAAAATTAAGGTGGCGTGTTAACTTCGATGGCTTCATGCTTGATAGTTGTAGTTTATTGTCAATCACAGTAAACCCGAATTACCATAATTGTCACCATAAAGACGTTTCTTTGTCATTAACCAAAAGGTATCCAAATTAGAAGACTTGAATTCCAGGTGTAATGTAATTGTAAAATAATACGTTTTCATATCCGATAAATATGTACTTATATCCGAATCCTAATCATAGAGGCTATGATGATAATGAATATTGGTAATAGTGTAATATATACGTGTGTGTGAAGGCTCAAAGGGGTCGCGAAATATTTTTATATACCAGGGGGGTCGCATCATGAAAAAGTTTGAAAAACACTGCTGTAGGTTAGTCCTCTAGTGAAACTATTTGCTTGTTCCAAAGTGTAGATTCCTACGGAAAAAGAACGAGCAAGAAACTCCATAGGTTACTCTTTTTCAATCATGTTCACAATACAATTTTTGGTTACATTTTTTCGTTGAGTTCAATTATGTGAGAACAATGTAATACCAATATTTGGTCAAGGAGACGGAAAAAGAAAATAACCTTGAGGACAACAAATTTAATACAGTCTGGAGCTAACCATTCCCATTTGACAGCGCCCGTTCACGAACATGACACGTATGTACACCAGCACCGCCCAACTCAACCATGTTATAGGGAATCGAGCGATCCACTGCCCGTGCCACTGTCAATGAGACTTTTGAATGAGCATGACAACTCCAAGCTGACTGACATACATGCATTCTAGTAGTCTAATTTAATTGAGAGAGAGCCCTGTACGTAAGTAACGTACTCTCACATTTACAATAATTATATAAAGTGTGACAGTGTGTATTTCAACAAAATGGCTGTACATAATTGGAACTCATTGGAACATCAATGTTTTTCGCTATCCTGTGGAGCTGGACCAGCCTGCTTACAAGCATTTTTATCTTCTATGTAATTATTAAGTTATATCATTATGATATGAGCTTATGGCAAAATACAATCAACCAAATATCCTACCTCCATAGTACAAAGTAGTTTAACTGTAAAATATAGCTAAAATTTATTATCATTTACTACTTACGAGTATTATGTTACAAGTATTAACGTTATTTGTGCCATTGGGGACCTTATTGTTATCTGAGTAGACCGGAGATCGATGATTAATTGATTGGCATATCACAGAAATAGGTAACATTAATTTATCGTGATCTTCCTGTCGTCTCCATCTGTACTTATATAAATACTGTCGTTAATATTTTCCATTCCACTTGTCTGTGAGTAATTAACAAACACACAATGCAGGTCCTGCCTCTTCTAGCGCTGTGTATCGCTGCCGTCGCTGGCGCTGGTAAGTGTTCGCTATTATGATCTTTACAATTCTGTTTAATTTATTATTAAATACTATAAAGCAGAAAGAATTATTAAATAATGTACAGTGGTTTTTTATCTTCGAAACACTTTTGCTACTATTTCACTTTGACTACACTGTGGATTATAGGTATTTAACATTTAACTCGTCGAGTACCGTCATTATAGACACAATTATAGAACAATTAGTTGCGGTCACCGGTGACCGCTTGGTGTTTGACAGTTTAAGCAGCAGTAACCAACGATGAAGGAAACCATCGTAAGGAAACTTTTTTTTTAAATAGGGAATATCATCCAATTACTTCTCTCGCTTTGGGTGAGGCGAGAGGGGCTGTCAGACTCTTACTGCCTACAAACCACCCGTGCCTTCTTCTGCTCTTCGAGCCGGAGCACCGGCAACCCGATAAGTCCTCCGCATCTCCATATCGGCATCAGCCCTACTGGGCCCCATCTGTGGTGGTCTGATGGCTCTTCTTTATATACAAAGTCTAAGTCAAATTCATTTATTACAATTAGAACAGTGAGGCATTTTTGAATGTCAACAAAAATTTAAATATAAAGCAATAGTGTTATTCGCTTGTAAAATGTTAGATTTGGAATTAAATTGATATTTTAATCATTTCAGAAATTCGATCTGATTCGCAAAGGATATGGGGAGGGTCAGCTTCCAATATTCAAAACTATCCTTATCTAGCTTCTCTCTTGGATACGGATCGGTTCAACTTGTTCTGGCAAGCCTGCGCTGGCACTATCCTGAACAACCGAGCTGTTCTCACTGTTGCTCACTGCATAACGTAAGTTTGTTGTAAATAATTGTAATTGCGAACTGAAATTACTTTAATTAATATATTCATTACTTTTCAGTGATGAGAGACTCCACTTATGGCGCGTCCGTGTAGGGACAAGTTATGGCAATGGTGGTGGTGCTGTCCACGAGATCCAAAGGCACATTATTCATCCTTTATATACTTCTAAAATTATGGACCATAACATCGCTATCGTACACGTCGTCGTCCCCTTCACATTCAGTAACTTAATCAGCCCTGCGTCCATCGCAGGTCCTAACTACAACGTTGCAGATAACCAAGGTGTCATCGCTGTTGGTTGGGGCTGGGGTTACAGTTGCACACCTTCTACGGTAACACTAATCAATTCATATATAATAATAATAATATGGTCACTTAAAAATTAATAGCTATCGAACCGCACCTTTATGAACAACTAGCTTCTGCCGGCGGATTAGCCTGTGTTATTCTAGATCATAATCTACCCCTATTTCAAATCAAAGGGCGCCGTTTTGACAAGAAGTAACAATCATACCAACATACAACAACTTTCATATTTTTAATATTAGTAGAATTATAATAATATTATTCTCATCTTATTGCCAGCTTCTTTGATTGAGCGGTCGTAATATGTGCCTGATTAACCAAGTTCAGGGTTCTATTCTCGCATCGTAAAATGTAGTTAAAGTTTATCATTATATTTTTTTTTTTGGGTTTTGGTTAGGAATTGTGTCTCGTATATGGCAAGAGGCTCACTCCTACTTCCATGAGACTTATACGCAAGTGATGCACAGTGGGTGTTATACTTAACATCTTGTCTATTGAAAGTTGCGAGTACCTATAATGTGTTTGTATTTTAGGCATAATGTATGTTTATGTACCTCTATATAGGCCTGAATACTCAATTTTTAGTTGTACTTAAATATCGTGCCATCTCTATCGTTTTAAAAAGAATTTGAAGTGATAGAACCATCTCTAAAGCACGACTTAAAATTAATTTACGTTTGCGTATTTCAGTGACTTGTTTAATTGCAGTGGTCTGCAGACGACAGGCGGTTTCCTGAGATAATGCGCGAAGTACCGCTTTTGACAACGCCACAGGAAACGTGCAGAAACAGCTACGTTCCTCAGGGTATCACCATCACTGATAACATGTTGTGTGCCGGCTGGCCTATTGATAATCGTGGCCATTGCTCGGAAGACTCTGGTACTCCTCTCGTACACAATGGAGTTGTCATTGGTGTGTTTGCGTTTAGATTTGGCATCTCCAATCCTGAACATCAAAGTGTTCACACTCGAGTATCCAGCTACACATCTTGGATAACTTCAAACGCATAGAGGAAAACTATAATAGGAAAATAAATAATATTTATAACTAAAACGAAATGCTTGTCATAATTTTACTGGAATATTTTATCGTTAAATAAAGTTCGCATTCATTTTTTTTTTCTTTTATTGTATGAAAGAAATTATGATTCATAATAATAAAATTTTAAATGAATTTAGGTAGCAATTACATAACATTATTTCACTCTGAAAAGATTAAATTATAGTGTATTGATGAGGCAATAATCAACTCAATATTTTTATGACGGAAAACTGGAAATGACGATCATATATATCTTATGGTTACGTAATAAGGATCTATTTTTCTTAATTTTAACATTATCACCTCATTTCAAAGATGACATCCTAAACAGTGTAAATATATCATTGCTAAATGAATCAAAAAAAAAGAATATAGATAAGAGTAAAAATTCCCTATGCCTAATGATAATTAATGAATCGCAGTAGATAACAGATTTTTGTCTTTTCCTATTCGGTCTAAGTACAATTCTAGTGTAACTTTTACTGCATCAAAAAGGCGAAACACAGTCCATGAGGCTCGTTGGTATTCTATCAAAATATCAATGTCTTCGCGTAAGGTACTTTTTAGGAGATGCAATTTCTAGTAAATAGTCAATGGGTAGCAAATATGTTACGGCTGATCAAGAACTAGCCAAATAAAATAATGTCTCGTACCTTGATCACTGTTTTAAAATATATATTAAGTTTCTGCAACGTGGAATTTTGACTCATATTCTTCTCCGAAATCCTAATCATATCTATTAGGACATTTATGAAAGAAGTAAAAAGTAAAGTCACTTTACAATTTATAAAATATATTCGTTTAAGATGAAAATTATTGAAATCTAGAGAAATTGTAAAATAGTTTGTTAAAACACATTTCTGCAATTAATAAAAGGAGGATAGGTGCATTGACACTTTTGCCTAACGCACAGGGAAACAACAAAAACGAGCACCTAGCTACACTAAATAAACGGCGGATGGACAATGCTATTTTTTACTTTTCATAAATGCCTAGTATTTATAAACTACTAGCGGACCCGACTGATTTTAACCTGTTAAAAAAAACTTTGAATTTTTCTCGCCGTAAAAACCATCCACGAACTCCTATGTGAATTACATCATTAAAAATATTATTTGACTTGACCAGACACCAAAACCACTGAACCAAATACACTTCTACTACACCACTTCGACGACAAGTAATCAGCACAAACCACCGTCCTCTTCGCAATCCTAAAACAAAATATTTTTATAAAAAAGATAGGATTCTTTGACATAATCTCTTTTATACACCCCACCTGCAATTATTTATTGGATCAAGCGACTTATTATCTATTGATGACATTCTGTCGTTTTATCAATCAATCAACACATTAATATACAACTGAAATCGGTTTGTCTTGTTTGTATAGTGTAGTGTATTAAAGTGCTATATTACATGTATAATCTGTCTCCAGAAAAGGATATGTTAGAATTATTACTATATTAATCACACAATATCCATATGAGAATGTAAATACTATTTTTTTAATTCATGTTTTTCAGCTTCCTCAAGAACTGTTTGACAAGGAAAACCGCCACCCACGACCCAGTTATAATATAAATTCTATGATCGATTTCCTTAATGTCGTGTAAAATTAAACATTTAAGTTGAAGTTATCAGCTGTAATCGTACATCCTATAATGATTAATCCTACATTAGCAATCATAGTTCAGGTAATGCATTCCTAATGAGATTTGAAATAGACGTAGAGATCAAGCAGGAAAACAAAACCATTCATAGAGCCTACAAAGCCATTTAGAAGCCACCAAAAAAAATAAAAATAAAAAAATACATATAAACAAATACGAAAAGGCCGCGAAGTTGCTTGTATTTCTGTTTTATTATTATCTTTGAAAATTTATCTTGGATCATGACGGTAGATAACACCAATTAAGCCTGTTCTTCTTGCTTTCATATAAATACCACCAACGAAACTTTTTACTTCACACTTGTCACCGAGTGATAGACAAAATGCGCGTCTTCATCTTCTTGGCCCTTTGCTTCGCTGCAGTAGTAGGTAAGTGTCTTAGCAATTCCTGTTTTAATTTGCAAATTATTTTCTATGTTTAAAACTGCCTCGTTACTCAAGCCACTGTAAGTTGCATGATAGGCATGTTTTACTATGGATGATTGTTCATTTTTCTTGTACAAGAGAAATAGATCATTCAATTTAAAAAAAATCCTCTCTCTCGACTAGGATCTTCTCCTGTGTCATGAGTGCATTTACAAACATAGATTTTCATATACACAAGACACGGAACAACAATCTGTGGATCACACTAAGAGTTGTTCTGTGAGGGAATCGAACCTGCGACATGCTGTATGGCAGCCAGAACCCAGCCTCCGAGCCAACAGTGCAGTCATTGATTTGACAAATTTTACATGTTGGACAGCAGTCCCCGTTAAGATATTTACATAACGGAAATAATAATAGCGGTGCTGGCTGACTTAATACAAAAGCTAGTTATTCCTTATTATTTCATATATAAATTGATATTGATTTTTTACTTTTGTTGCAGCTGTCCCATCCAATCCCCAAAGGATTGTGGGCGGTTCGGTTACGACTATTGATCGGTACCCTACCATCGCCTCTCTCCTGTATTCATGGAACTTGAGCAGCTACTGGCAGGCTTGCGGTGGTACCATCTTGAACAACCGCGCCATCCTTACTGCTGCTCACTGCACAGTGTAAGTGTTCTTCCAGAAATCTCTATTTTGCAAATATTAGAAGACAGGTTTTTCTAACAATTTATTTTCTTTTCAGTGGTGACGCCGTCAGCAGATGGAGAATCCGTCTTGGCTCCACCTGGGCCAACAGCGGTGGTGTCGTTCACAACGTCAACGCTAACCTCGTCCACGGCTCATACAACTCTAGGACTATGGACAACGACATTGCTATCCTCCGCTCCGCTTCCACCTTCTCCTTCAACAACAACGTCCGCGCTGCCTCCATCGCTGGTGCCAACTACTGGCCTGGTGACAACACTGCTGCCTGGGCCGCTGGATGGGGAACCACCTCCGTAAATATATTTTTGAAATCAATCCAGATAATTGTATTTTGATGGGCAGGCAAAATAAAAATGTACTCTCTATTCACAGTCTGGTGGCTCTGCCTCTGAGCAGCTCCGTCATGTTGAGCTGAGGATCATCAACCAGAATACTTGCAGAAACAACTACGCTACCCGCGGTATCGCTATTACCGACAACATGTTGTGCTCTGGCTGGCCCACCGGTGGTCGCGACCAGTGCCAGGGTGACTCTGGCGGTCCTCTCTACCACAACGGCATCGTTGTTGGTGTCTGCTCTTTCGGTATTGGCTGTGCTCAGGCTGCCTTCCCCGGTGTCAACGCTCGCGTGTCCCGCTACACATCTTGGATCTCCAACAACGCATAAGAAGGGAATTTTGCCCAGTTTGCTAAATAAAATTATGTTTGTAATCAAGTAAACTGGAACAGTGACCACTTATGTTTCTTTGTTTACAATAAATGTTACCATACAATTATTTTGTTTTCGTTCTGATTTATATTTACTTTTTAATCCAGGTACCTATAATTTTCGATATTGTATGCTTAGTACTATTTCTATTTCTAACTACTATTTCTAACTAATCTAGTTAGAAATAGTACTAAGCATACAATATCGAAAATTATAGGCATTGGACCCGCTTTCGGGAGCGAGAAATCGGTCTAGCTAGGTTTTGTTTTCTGAAAATGTCGTTTTGTTCGTGTTTTCATTGAATAAAAATTCTTATTAGAATACGAAGCTACATTTCGAAAGCTGTGTCGGAAAACCGGTTGCCTTCCACGCAGGACTTTCGAGGTCAGTCCTCAACCCGATTGCGTCTCTTATTTTTTATGTTTTCTATTTTATCTTCGTTCTACTTTATTTTTTTGTATTTTGTGATATTTTCTTCTATGAGTATTGTTTTTTATATTTAAAAAACATGTAAGTACTAAAAAAAGACATCGAGCAAAACTCGGTTATCCAGGCATTTACTATTTAATACACTATGTGTTAAGGTCAAGTAATTTAAATAAATGTGATATACAAGGTGTTGTTTTAAAGCCGCGTCATTTTCTAGTAGAGTCCGAATCAATAAAATAAAATTGTAGATAAATATTTTTAATTTTTCTGTAAATTACGGAAATCCGTTAGTGCGAACTACACGCCGCCGTCTTGTAACTAGCTTTATAACGCGGTTTAACATACACAAACTCATACACGTAATTGACATTATTCCTAATTCCATAAAACTCCAATAATAAACATTGCTGTCGCTTATTCTGAAATACGGTCAAACTAAATCGATTTATTATAGCCGTTTTTTTAACTATTGGCCCGAAACTTTCTCTTACATTGAACCTTTATGACTTCAGTGACATGCCTCCGAGAAATGGCACGGCTTCAAAACTACATCTTGTATAATATGAAGTTCAAATCAAATCACTTTTAATTGTTAACATAGGTGCATACAGATACAATTCTTACAAATGGTAATAACATAGAGTGTTATGCTATGCCCGGAGGCTAACAAATAATGGTGAGCATGCGGCTCTAGTTTGCAAATCAAAGATTAGAGAATCATTGATACAACTGTTACCTTCTGTCATAACAACGTTTTATTATAATTTGCGAGAAACATATTTAAAAAGTTATATATTTTAAATTAAAAATATGTTTTACGGCAAACGGAGCAGGTCAGGCAATCCGGCCTTGTTGGCTTTTGTAACGAGAAAATTTATCGGTTTTTCAGGAGCCGTCGAGAACACTAGAGTTTGGCTTGGTACCACGCTCAGTAGATTTACTACAGCTTAGGACCAGAGCTACTACAGGTCAGATAAATTGTTATTAAGTTATAAAGGGTTATAGGCTTATTATCATGTGATTAACTTTTTTTAAGAGCGGAAAATCATCCATTGGCTTCTCCCGCCTTAAGTGAGGCAAGAGGGAGTGTCAGGTGCTTACTGACTAAAACCATTCCGTTCCTACTTTTGCTCTTCGAGCCAGAACCCGTTAAATCCTCAGCGGCTCCGTATTGGCATTAGCCCTATTGGGTCCCAGTTGTGGCGGTCTGATGGCTCTATATGATATAACTAGGCTAATAATAATTATGGTGGAAAAACGTCTTTTTCCCAGTTACCATCGAATATACCGGACTTCCCTGCCATTGTTAACCATTTCAAATCAATAATACCAAAAATGCACACATTACACACGAAAATAAACTAAGGGCCTGATTCAGGATGTCTGAATAGCCGTTATGTATGTACCAGATAAAGAATTAAGAACTTAATTTGTGTGAACTATTTCTACACATAAGTCTATCGAACACTTTAATAAAGGTTGCGAAACAGGCACTGAAACCCTGTATTCAGTGATCACTGGACTAAAACTAGTAAATACCTATGTGATTTAAACTCATTACGAACTGCCAGTTCCGACTATTGATCAGACAAACCGAACTAACTAAATAGATAAGTTTGACCGGATCCAAAGTTAGCGAGTAGTTCGGAACAGTCATCCAGCTGATTGCTAACTGTGTGAACAGCAGCTATAACCGGCCTTGTTAGTACATGGCTACTGAACGCCACTTACACATATTATGTCAGTGGCAGAGTTTGCCACATCTAAATTGCTGTTGTTAGAAATTATTTTGAACTCGGTTTAAGACTTTATGATTGTAATATAGATTTGGTTATTTCTACGTTTATTTACTTTGCAAGTACTAAAAAGATTAGTCCTGCCTCATTATTCTCTAATATTAGCACTCTAGTTCAAGCGTAACATAAATAACTACGTTTTAAATTAATTTAAAGTGACAACTAATTGCATTTGATATTCTGATATCGTATAGGAGAAATAGAAAAGAAAAATAAATTAAAAAAAAATATAAAATGCATCTAATAGAGTTGTCTACAATGATATTAACGGTAACACTGACTTTAGCACTAGCAATATAAGTCAGATACAATCTCATCTGAATTTCGTAGCTGTGTTGATAATTTCATCTGCATTCGTAGCGACACCGATTCGTAGCCAGTTCGTAGCACTCCCGTAGCACATCGCTACACTTTCTGTACTACGAAGTGTAACTATTTATTTACATGAAAATATTTTAGTTTATTTGTATAACTTAAAAAATATAATATTGTTCACTTCTTTTGAAATAGTCCTGCATATTATTAGGTATATATTTTCAGTCTAAGATTAATGTCAAAATTATCTTGACATAGATGAAAATAAATTACTTTTTTTTCTGCAAGTAATAATAATAATCATTCAAGCTTATAATAATAAATCAAAATCTATCAATTTTCACGGAATTACTATGAATTCAGTACGTACAAGCGTTTTATCTGATAAGTGAATATTGGTATAAATGTAAGGAAAGATAACGTTATGTTGGTGTTATTTTATTTTATGACATCGACGGTTACAATACAAATTCTGACGTATGCATTCTTTTTTTAATTATGTATATATAACAAAATGCTAATTAATATTGTAAAGATAACTAACGTGAAATTATGTTTGCAATGTGTTTTGTCGTGTGAGTTAGGTTACTGGAAGCCCAAACACCCGCACCCCCCTTCTCCGGTCTCCTCAATCTCCAAATCCCCCACAATCCTCAAATTTCACATTCACAAAAGGCCGGTAACGCATTTGTAACGCCTCTGATATTTCAAGTGTTTATGGGCGGCGCCGATTGCTTACCATTAGGTGATCCGTCTGCTCGTTTACCGGCTTCATCCCATAAAATAAAGTTCCAAACTTATGATAATATGCATTTATTTGATTATCAACAAATCAATAAATCTTCATCATTAGATAAGAGGCACGCCAAAATTAATAGCTAAACTCCCTATTATAGGCTTATGTGATTAAAATGTTAATTGATGCCATTCCTTTGTATAAAGAATCAGTTTTAGGTAGAATTAAGGGCGAAATAGTATTTAAGTTCTTTTATTTGAAATGTAGTGAATAATATAATTGAGACTAACCAAAAACTATGAGATGGTGTTTCGGGTGTGGGTTCGCCAACCCGCATTGAGTAAGCGTGGTTATTAATTCTCAAACCTTCTTCGTGTGAGAAGAGGCCTTTGGTCAGCAGTTGCGACTTATAGACTGTTGATGTGTGTGAGACTAAGGACTGAAGGGTTTTTTTTTAAGGGGGGAAAATCATCGAATGACTGCTCCCGCCTGCGTGAGGCGGAAGGGAGTGTCAGACTCTTACTGACTAAAAACCACCCCGTTCCTTCTCCTGCACGTCGAGCCGGAGCCCCGGTTACCCGTTAGGTTTTCCGCGACTCCGAATCGGCAACAGCCCTATTGGGCCCCATCTGTGGTGGTCTGATGGCTCTTTGAGGCGCGAGCGGAACGCGACGCGCCGTACGCTCGGGTCTTTTTCTGGTCGGACGGGGAGCCACCCATGCTCGCCGTCCGCAGGCCCGCGCTTACGGTGGCCGGAGATCGTTCCGCGATCCCCGACGCCCGGTGTGTTTTTCGCGATGGCTGGGTTGCGAGGAGGCAGCGCTTTGCTGCCTCACGCGTCCCGCCTCCTCCTTAGCTAGCATGACTGCTTCGCAAAAGGAAGAGACGGCATCCCAGTCCCCCTCGCTCCGCATCATGGCCTGCACTAGGCCCGGACGCGATAGGTCGCCATCGCCGATCACTTCCCTGAGGGCACGACGGTGCTCAGCCCACGCAGGACATTCTCCCACTGTGTGTTCCACCGTGTCCTCAGGGCGGTCCTCACAGTGATGACACCCGGGCGTAGGACTGAAGGGGTAGGAGGTGCACATTACGCCACTTAATGCTACTGTACAATGTAACATCCACCTTTCACTATTTATATTTTCAGCCCCGTGTAATAAGGGGTAAGCCTATTGCCATATACTAGGACACAAGTCCAGACTCCGTGCTACTACTAAAAATCTTTTAAAAAACTCTTGTAATACTTTACCCAACCCGATGAACCCGAGATACCCTTTTTTCATATTTGATGAGCCAACGTTTGACCACTATCTCACCTGGTGGGAAACGGTGATGCGGTCTACGATGGATAATTATGGATGGTCCCTTACTCGGCAGTCGCACTTGCCACCACTCAGCTAACGAGGCAGTCACTAAAATATAGTACATATTTCCTCCAAAGAAGTCTCTGAAGAACCTCGCTAAATATCATTAAATATGTACCACATTTAAGGACTTTAAGCGAGGCTTTGACTTTGCTTTAGAATATTTTTTAAAAACATAATTCTTTTGATAAGGTCATAAAGATAAAGTTGTGAACATAGTTACATAATACACCGCTAGGAATGATCACCTAGCCAGGTCAGATGATCCTTCATTTACCGTACACTGTATCCTTTAGAAAGTTGGTATGCTTAAGGATAAAAAATTAGGCTAATTATGGGTTTGGTAGTACTGGTTGTATTGTAGGAAGCAGGAAATCTGATTATGTTTATTATCATTCTTGTTTTCATTAGT